GCAGAATATATGAATATTTCCTGAAAATTTTGCTGATGAGTGTCAGAGCTGATTACATCTCTAAAGACACACTAGGGTGAAATTTAGCAGACTAATGACTAAGTCTAGAACAACTTCTTAGAAGCAATTATTACATCTCATAAGCTCATTTTTTTAAAGTGGAAATAATGATGATACTGGAGATCATTTGAACTTGGTAACTGCAGTGGTCACCAGCTGACAACTGAGAAACACAGATGTCACTTTGAAACATGTGTGTTGGTTTCAAGAGGGTCCATTTTAAAATATTCAACAGTATTTCAATCAGATCAGGATTAGAGAGGATCTCATCAATATTACAATAAGAACTTAAATTCTATTGTATATGCTTAATATTTTGCTCTCTTAGGATCTGTTTTTCAAAATTGGCTATGATTACTAAAATATTCACATTCCATACCAGGATATTAACTTAGCAAGTGATTAAACTGAGGTCCTCAAGTTCAAAGGCTCAGGCCACACGGGTAGTAGAAATTCAAGAACAGATACCTTTATGTTTGTTTCCCAGCCAAATTCTCTTCGGTTAAATACTTTCTATTTTGAAAGAATTACAGACTCAGAAGAAATAGCAAAAATAATGCAGAAGGGACCTATGTACCCATCCCCCAGATTCCCCTAATGGTAACTAACAACTTACATATCTGCAATAGCTAATCAAACCCAAGATATGGACATCAGAACAATGCAACTTATTAGACTGCACATGTTACTCGCACTCCACCAGATTTTAATGCCCTCGTTTGCACCTATGATATTACTGCATGTATACAATTTTTATAATCACCATGTCAATAAAGATACAAAACTGCTTTGTCACCTGAAAGATTCCTTGTGCTGCCTATTTAAAGTCACACCCCATTTTCCTTTTCTAAACCCTGACAACCACTGATCTGTTCTCCTTCTATAATTTCATCATCACTTATTTTTTTCTATCCCATCCCCCACTATCTTGTAAGCAATATTTCTGGGACAGATTTTGTCTGAAATGGCCATCTGTCCCTATTCAGTCTCCTCATTTTGAGGCCTAGAGTTTTCTGATCCAATCAGCCATAAAGGTCCCAGATTGCCAGTGGCTGGTACTGCAATGAAGCAAGCAAAGCCAGGATCCTCTCTTGCCAGAGGCAACCTGACTCAACCTGTCTCACCAACGAATTTCTGGGACTGCTGTAGCAAAGCACGGTGAACTGGGGGCTTACCCAGAAGAAACTGATTGAGTTCCCGTTCTAGAGGTCAGAAGTCTGGCTTCCTCTGAAGGTATAAAGCCAGACCTGGCCCAGGTGTCTCTCCTGGCTTCTAGAAATTCCTTGATTTAGAGCGTCATAACTCCAGTATTCACAGGGTATTCCCACATGTGCATGTCTTTACATCATGCTCTAACCATATGTGTCTCTTTTTGTCTCAATCATCTCCGCTTATGAGGACACAGTCATATTGGATTGGGGCCCACTCTAATGAACTTATTTTAATTTTATTATCCATGTAAAGATGTAATCTCCAATTAAGGTCACATTCTGGATACTAGAGACAAGAGCTCCAATCTGCTGTTTTTGGGGGGGAGAATGCTATTCAACCTGTAATAACATTCAGGAAAAATGCTCAGGGTACTCTAGCAAAAAAGGCACGAAGGTAAAAATGTAGAAATGATAGCAGAAAAAAAAAGTGAGACAAAATGGACGGGAATACTGCTTAACGTATTATTAAGTGAATAGCACCTGACCCTTCAGGTTTTAACTGAAAATGAGAATTTTACCCCCCAGTGGTGGCTCTGTCTATACAAACGTCCCAGGAAATGGGTGCTCCACTGTTCAGGTCTCTGGCCCAGGAATGGCCATGGTTCTCTCCCCTTGGTTTATCTGAATGTGGACAGGGGAACCCAGAGCAGCCTTTACAGACACCAAGGTGAGCAGGAAAGAAGTGACTCTGGAAGCTGGCAGGCAAGGGCCCAGGCAGCATGCTTTCCAAAGGGTAACTCAGCTCCTATTTAGCTGCTTTGCTCAAAAAAGGAGTGAGAACTTAGATGGAGCCCTCAGTAGGCTGCAGAGAGTGGATCTTTCCTTCCTGGATGACCACACAGCTGTCATGATATCTAGATGCTAACTTCCAGGTGACTGCCTACTGTATGCACTGTCTTAGGATACCCAAATGGACTGGAGCTTTGCGTACCCCTACCCCAAAGTCATAGGTTGGAACCCTAACCCTTGATGTAGCTGTATCTGGAGATGGAGTTCCTAAGGAAGTAATTAGTTAAGTGAGGTCATCAGGGTGTGTCTTAGCTCAATTTCTTCTGCTAAAATAGTCACATACTAGGTAATTTATACAGGACAGAAATGTATTTCTCATGGTTCTAGAGGCTGGGAAATCCAAAATTAAGGCACTGTCATCTTATAAGGGCTTTCTTGCTGCTTCCACGCCTGGCAGAAGAGCAGAAGAGTCAACCCATACTCATAAGTCCTTTCTGTAGCAGGTTTAACCAGTTAAGGACACACTGTGACCACACACTGTTGCACTGGGGATTAAATTTCCAACACATGAAATTTAGGGACATGTAAGGACCATAGCAAAGGTGAGGACCTGATTTGATAGTGTTAGTCCTTCTAAGAAAGGACATCAGAGAGTGCCCTCTCTCATTCTCCTCTTGAGCACTGGCACAAAGGAGAGGCCATGTGAGACCCCGTGAGAAAGTGGCTGTGTGCATGCCAGGAAGAGAACTCTCACCGGAGGCCACATCTGCCCTCACTTTGATCTTGGACTGGACTCTAGAAATGTGAGGAAACAAGTACCTGTTGCTTAAACCATCCAGCCTGTGGTGTTTTACCATAATCCAAGCAGACTAAGGCACATGCAGCCTTCCTAGTCCCAAAAGAGGGGCACAGTTTCTCCATGCTCAGCTCTCAGCCTGTCGCCTGGCACTATCTTACCAGCCCTTCCTGGGGAACTTCTGCCTACCTGGTAACACCTGGCCTGGAAAAAGTCAAGAAAGAATCCCCCATGCAGCTGTTGTGGGCTGTGCTTTATTATTTATCTTATGAGATACCCACCTCTCTTCTAGTTAACTTCTGAAATGACCACACTCTCCTAATAAGTGTACCCCTTCCCTGAAATGGTCCAAGAAAATGAGAGTTCTTGAAACTCAACAGTAAACTTCACCGCTAGGCTGTAAGGCTTGAACGATGAAAATAAAAATGGAAGTTCTGGTTTTCCTATAATGTGATTCAGCTTTTGTTTATTTGGGTGGTTTGTTCTAAGCAAGAGTAATTGTCGAACTATGTAGTCTATATAGGCTAAAGACTGCAGGCTAACAAACAGACACACACTCCATCTTTCAGGGAATTGTTTGGAGACAGTAGGCAGTGTGGGCTGGAGAATTCTTTAAATGCTTTAGTCGCAAAATCCATTTTGAAATGTTTTGTTATTTTCTCTGTTTTCTGTCTGTATCAGTTTTCCTTACAATAGGTTTAAAACAAAACAAAATGTGAAACAACACCCAAACAATAAAAATAAATGTCTAAAGAGTTTTTTAAAAATCACACTTTTAGAACACATTTGAAGGAGTGGCAAATGTAATTTGTTGATGATAGTGTCTTTATTAAGTATTCATTTTGAACCTGGGACTGTTATAATCATTTTATATGACTATGCTTATTTTGTTATATAAGCAGGGACTCTTAAAAACAGGAGGTGTAAGTAGGAATGTACAGCATTCTAAGAGTTTTACGGAAAAGTGGAGTTTGTATATTAAAGTAGGTGGTTGAAATTATCATGCAGACATAAACTAATCATGCAGGGGAAATGATGCACAGAACAGCTAAAGAGCAATGCACAATAATCTCTTAGGTAACTTTTTCAGAGTAAAAAAATGAACTTAAGAAAAAAATCATGATGTTGATAACAGCACTGCAAACTGTTTTATTTAATTTCTACTTCTCACTATGTTGTCAGAGCGATAATATATAAGAGTATTTTCAGGAGCGAGAGTTGTAGCACAGTGGGTTAAGCTGCTGCCAGCAGCACAGACATCTCATATTGGAGTGTTAGTTTGAGTCTGCTTCTGATCCAGCTACATGCTAACAGGCCTGGAAAAGCAGCAGATGACGGCTGATGTACTTGTTCTCCCACTTTCCATCCAGGAGAACTGGAAGGAGTTTCAGGCTCTTGACTTCAGCTTGGCCCAGCCCTGGCTGTTGTGGCCATTTGGGGAGTGAACCAGTAGTTGGAAAAGATTCTCTGTCTTCCTCTCTGTCACTCTGCCTTTCAGATAAATAAAATAGATCTTTCTTTTTAAAAGATATTCCATCCGCTGATTCAGTCTCCAAATGGCTGCAATGGCCAGTGCTTGGCCAGATTGAAGCCAAGAGATAGGAGCTTCTTCTGGGTCTCCCACATGGGTAGCAGGGGCCCAAGTACTTGGGTCATCTGCTGCTGCTTTTCCCAGGCCATTAGCAGAGAGCTGGATCAGAAGCGAACCAGAACCCATGTAAAATATGGCATTGCAGGTGGCAATTTTACCTGCTACACCACAATGCCAGCCCCTAAAATAAATCTTAAAATAAGAATATTTTCAAATTTTAATGTACTATTTAATATTTAAGGATGGTTGCGTGACTTTTGTGGTCAAATGAGTTGGTTTCAATGGAAACATTTTGAAGTAATAGCATTTTGTCTACCTTTTTATTTAGTAGAGTCATTAAGCCTTTGACTATAATGTAGATTAAAAATGTTTCCAAAAATAAATAAACTATTAACTTTTAAAAAGAAACAGTAGCATTACACAAATGCTGTTGGAATTGTATTCATCAGAGTATTTTGAAAACTTGACAGTAGTTTCCATGACTCCTTCCACAGTGTAAACACTTGAAGAACTCTGATATCCATTTCTTTAAAACTGTTTTCTACATTTGGGTTTTGAGGTTCAAGTGTAATGGCATTGAATTTACTGTGTTTTCCTGTTTCCTTTCCCACAGCTTATGCAAACTTCCTCAAGTTGACTCAGAAGCAGAGAAAGCCTTTTTCCTAGAAAGTTTGGCCCTTCCTTTCATGGAAGCTGTTCAGTTTAATAATCGCTTTATACTTTCACAGGTAAGGAAATGAAGAAGGGAAGGGCAGGGCAAGATTGGGAGGGGGCGAGGGGAGATGGGCACGTTAAGCAGGCAGGCATCGATTAGATGTCTCTGGATCCTCAATTAGCCACAGAGACATGCATGTGTGAACATTTGCTTTTTTTTCTTTTTCTAAAGATTTATTTTACTTGAAAGTTACAGAGAGAGAGAAAGAGAGAGAGAGAGAGAGAGAGAGAGAGAGAAAGTCTTCCATCTGCTGGTTCACTCCCCAAATGGCCGCAACGGCTGGAGGTGGGCTGATCCAAAGCCAGGAGCCAGGAGGTTCTTCTTGGTCTCCCACACTGGTGCAGGGGCCCAAAGACTTGGGCGATCTTCTGTTGCTCTCCCAAACCATAGCGGAGAGCTGGATCAGAAGTGGAGCAGCCGGGATTTGAACCAGTGCCCATATGAGATGCCGGCACTGCAGGCTTCGGTTTTACCAGCTATGCCACAGCGCCACCGGCCCCTGAACATTTCCTTAAAAGCTAAACATTGTATAAACTTCCAGTTCTGAGCACTACTTGCCTTGGGTAGGGCTATTCCAAACTAAATGATGAAAACATTCCTGCTACCAAATATCCTAAGATCCCACACTTTCCTCGTCTTACTCATCTTTTATTCTAAATATTTTAGGAGCTATTTCAACATACTGAAATAATGGATTCACTGTAGGGCAGAATTCAGCTACTTCATTATGATCTTTTATTTCAAAAGTTTTAGAAAGATTTCTCATTATCTTCATTACGTATGAGTAGCTCAAACTTGACCTATTTCATAGTGACAATTACAAGCAAATTGGGAAGAGCTGAATTACTCCTTGTGAGGACTGAAGAGTAAGATGTGGTAAATTTTAGGAGTTTGGACAACTGTGAGATTTAGGAAATTTAAACAAAAATTTGAATATCAGAATAATATTTTAAAAGTCTTTGTCTGCACTTGATCATGGAATAAGAGTGGTTCTGAAATGGAAAGCCTGTGGACTTTGAGACAGCTAGACAACGTAGCCACTCTTGGAGGAGGTGGAGGAATCAAAGGCTTTTGGACGAACGTCAGAGACCCAAGGGCAGGTCCCTGAGACAGAGACTCCTAGTGAGCCTGTCTCATGCCACAGTTCGTCCTGTCCCAACTCAGTCTGGTAAACTGCCACAAAGACAGTAAGGACAGCCTCTGCCAGAGCAAGGGGTGAAAGTGTTTTACAACTTGGATTGGCTTTTTAAACCTTTTGTTTTCTAAATTTTGAACTAATGATGGGAACATAGAGTTGCCACAAGTGTGCAGAGAAATCCCCATTCCTCCTTCCAGCGTTCCCCAGCCTGTATCCTACAGCACGTTATCAAAACCAGGAAATGACCCTGGCAGAACACAAGTCAGCAGTCAGCAGATCTTCCATGGACTTTACCTCTTCATTAAATTATTTTTGGTGGCAGGGAGGGATTGACATTTAAAAATTGAGAATATTCAGCATGGACTTCCAAAGTCCTAAGGGGTAAGGTCTCTGACACTTCTCCCTCCATCTGCCCTTCCTTCTCCCTTCACTCCCTCCCTCACTCCTTCCTTCCCTGTCATTGTCGCTCCACATTCAGCACCAGTTATGTACCAGGCCATGTGGGAGGTGGTGAGATATGGTGAAGAGTCAGTGGGACCTGGTCCGCCACCCCCTTCCTTGTCCCCTCCATCCTCACTCAGTCCCTTGGCCAGCTCCTGTATGAGTCTTCCAGCTCCACCACACACAGCCCCCTCCCCCAGCCCACTCTTCTTTTACACAGCTCTGTGTTAATTTTCCTGCAGCATAATTCTGATCTCACTGACTCCCCTGATGGAGTATTTCCGAAAGCTCTGCTTTACCCACGGAATGAACTAGAGAGCTGTGTTTGGTCTGCCTTTATAGGAATTCCCACCTTGACAATGTTCATAACTCAGGTTCTGGCCGAAGTCACTATGCGTTGTTCAGAAACTGCCCTTAGGTCTCTGTTACTACACCTCCCTGCAATACCTCTGATCGCCTCTACTGGATATTTTAGGTGTATATATGTGTACAAATGTATATCAATGTATTTAATATACTAAATGCCACCTCCTCTGTGAGTGCTCTTTGGATGGCTCCAAGCAGATGCAAATTTCTCTGTTCTTTATTCATTCCCTAAGCCAGTGTTTACTTTGTAACCTTACTGTATTTCCCTCCGCTCCTTCGGTGTCCTATGGGTTCATTCCTCCTAGCTGTCCTCCTTGAGAGCCAAACTCTGCATCACTCTCAGATTTTGCTTAATGTCCGGAGAAGGAGCATGGCTCGGAAGTCAAGGCAGATCTTCCCTCCGCAGCCCTCCTCCCAGTTCCTTCCATTTGTTGCTGTAGCACGTAGCAGGATGCCCCAGGAGGTTGCTACTACCAACTCCAACTCTGGGGCTAGTGTGCTGAGCCGAGTGGCATTCAGCGAGACGGTGTATGTGGAGGGCTGCACATAGAGCCTGGCACAGGGAATTTTTATTTTAAATGAAATCTTCACAGATGGGCAGAAAATAGTCTTTCCAAAAAAGAGAAAATATATTTTACAAACCTGGCTGGCTTCCAATGAAGTAGAGGCTCCTGGATTAGTGATCACTTCAAAAATCTAAAACCAGTGTGGAGTTCAGAATCCTCTAAAGCTGGAGTGATTCTGAGAAAGCTGCTGTCCCCGATTCTTGATTGGCATGTGCTGGGAGCAAGGTCAGGCTTCGAGCAGAAGCTCCGGGCACCTACACACTCCCCACCCCCACCCAGCTTCTAAGACCTGAAGAAGGGAGTCATCATATGCACTCCTGTCTCCCTCCCCATACTACTGGGTGGTGTAGCTACAAGGAATCTGGTGGAGTTGCACTTGCCATCCTAGTCCCTTGGGAAGATTGTCTCATTGTTGGAGACAATTCTTAATTGTTTCTAAAGCATAATTCAAGGGAAGATTTGGCACCTCTGCCACCTAATTTGCACATCACGCATAAATCTTTCTTTTATTAGCCTGAATAATTGAGTTGACTCTATGAGAGTTTTTCTCCCTTGTAGAGAATGCAAGGCTCACATTTTATCAGAATTAAATTAATACTTGGGGATTCAGGCATTTCTTCTTCATGATCACTTTCCTACTCAAAGTCCTGGGGGACCGGCTTACCTGTAACCAGCAGGCTGGGACTCCACTCGTGCTGGCAGGCGCTCTCTGCAAGGATGAGTCATTCAGTTGGAAGGTACCCATTCTGGGGACAGCCTCCAGTGCCCTAGAGAAGAGTATTTTGAGGTGACTGTTGAGACTGATAAAGTTGCTCTGCTGAAAGTCCAAGATCATGGATTCCCATGTTTTCAAACTGAAGGACTGTACCAAAAGAACTTTCCTTGAACGAAACACTCAAGGGCACAGATCTATTCCATATTGTTAATGAATAATGTTGTAATAAAATAATGATATGACTGTGAACTCCAGATTTAAGCATTTTAAATTACTTGCCCAAAGTCCCAAGGTTTCTAAGAGGCTGAGTCAGGATTTAATTTTTAAATTTATTTTATTTGTTTGAAGAAAGCGAACAGAGACAGGAAGAGGGGAGAGAGAGACTCTCCCATCCACTGCTTCACTATTCAAATGCTTGCAACAATCAGGGCTCCAGGCCAAAGTTGGGAGCTTAGAATTCAATCTTGGTCTCCTGTGTAGTTTGTAGAGGCCCAAGCACTTGTGTCACCATTGCTGCCTCCCAGGGTAAGCATTAACAAGAAACTGGAATCAGGATGGGAGCCAAATTGGAATCCAGCCACTTGAATATGTATGTATGCATCCCAAGCAGTGTTTTAATCTCTAGGCCAAATGCCTGCCCCTGAGTCTGGATTCCAACCCATTTCTTTCCCTGAAAGTCACGTCTCAACTACTGTAATTGCACATATTATGTCTTCAAGCCTGTGTAAAGACAGGGCTTCTAATGGTTTCATTTTGCCTGCTTTGCTTTCTTTTTCTTTCTTTCTAAATTAAATGTTCATGCCATGGGGAAAATGCCAGGTGTGCTAAGCACCTAGGGATACATAGTGCTCTGCCAGAAGTCCACTCACTTTCTCTCTTTTTCTCCTAGCAATAATCTTGTAGTGGGCATTGTTAGGTCCACACTCGCAGGTAAGAAATTGGATTCTCGCTGAGACCTACTAACCTGGCCATGGCTCCATAGGACATGAGGCAGAACTCAGGTGTGAGCTGGTTTTGTATATCGTAGCACAATGATATTTTCCTGGAAGGAGCTTCAAAGGGAGCCCATGTGTTCATTAAAATTCAAGTCTTGTTCTTCACACTCCAGATTTTCCTTGGCACCTGTTGGGTTGGTGATTTTAATGAATTATCACCAATAATTTCTCAGTATGTACTTTGGAGTTAGGTAGTAGATGAACAAGAACAGGCTTTTCTTATTGATGCATATTATTTTTAAGTTTACAAGATTATTCTTATTTATAAGAGGTTTTATTATGCCTTTTTCTTCATGACTAAACTCTTATAACATTCTTAGAAATATGTGGGTTGGCAATTTCAAGTATAAAATCTTTATTGGAATTTTCCTCAGGTAAAAGTCTAACTTTCATTCTGAGAAAAGACTAAAAATAGATGTGGGGGATTTTTATGTGCCGAGGGAAAAATGAGTGATTATATAGCTGCTGTATGAAAATTAACATTTGTCCTTTGAGGAGCTTGATCAAAATGGGGAATAGGTGTCGATTCTCTGACACTTCATACAATGATGTGTAATACCAGACACTTGGCAATTTATGGGTTTTTGAGGCTTTTTCCCTCATTGAAGGAAATATTGCTAATTCATGCATTGTAATAATGGGACTTCAGCTATATTAAATCAAACAACTGCCCAGAAATGCCAATATATATATATACCATGTGATGGGAGGTAGTATTGTTTTTCAATCCCAGCATTTGAAGAGGTTCAACCCTGCCAGAACATCTCAAATTCTGGATTAAAGAAAATTTCCAGAATTTCTGGAATGTGTGTTGAAAATGTAGATTCCTTGGCCCCACCTCAGACTTTCTATAGTGGGAATCTGGAGTTGGGTCCCTCAGTTGATGCTTAGGCAGAGTGGGGTTTAGGACCCAGTCTTCTACACTAACCACTCATTTCCACCCTTTGTAATCCCACACTGGCAAAATCTCATTTTGTGTGAGGAAACCAATTCACTAGGAGAATTATGGTTCCTTTCACTATCCTCTGTTCTTCTAGCAACTCTATGTAGCAGTAGTCAGCTGCAAGTTTTCTGTGCAAAGCTGGCATTAGGGTCGCCCAACTCCATAGACAATTTGACAAATAGAATTCGAAAAGTACAATTCAGTCAACACATTTGATCTTCATCCACACAAAACATTTGTTATCTTTAATGAATAGCCAGTTAAAACATTGAATTTTATCATTCCTTCAAAAACATTTCTGCCAAGACTCTTTAATCCTGTGATGTTGATAATAAAAAAAAAATATAAACTCTAAGCATTAGGGTGAGAGAGGAAAGCATTGAGGATTTTTGTGTGTGTGTGTGCGTGTGTGTGTGTGTCCTGACTCTATGGCTTCAGTTGGGGACATTGCATTGAATGTAACTGTGCAGGGACCATGTCTACATTTCTTTGTCCACTTTTTCTATATAAAAGTGCAGGAAATTGGTTAGAGTACTTTGTAGTTTCTAGACTCTTTCCCCTGGAGATAAGAGATGTTGATCTGAGCACTTTTCTGCTGGATGATGTGTTTGGAGAGAATTATTAAGCCAGAAAGTAATACAGAGCCTTTCCCAGCCTCCCCATGGGTTAGCTCTGTTTTTCTGTATTTGCTGGGGGCGGTAGGGTGGAGTGTGATTGGAAAGCCAAGCCATGTTCTGCAGTACAGTCTGCAGAGTGGCTGGTGTCTCCTGAAAGCCGGGGAGCTGAACTTCAGTTGTCAGAGCCTGCCAGGCCCCACAAAGCCCAATTTACTGTGTAGCTGAATAGGCAGTACCCTGCTTCCTAATTAAAGCCACGTGCTCTGTTTCTGTGATGAAGGAGGATTTTATTGTCAAGTCACTTCCTCTCTTTCCATCCGCAAAATACCAAACCCAACCCAAACTCAAACAGACCCGCCCCTCACACCTCTGGAAAGAGGTGTATTTGCATGTTGTCACACTGTAATGCTCTCACTAGAAGGGCGTTCAGAAGTCACACTCCCAGTCCTCAGTTACCACCCTGTTAGCAAAACATATTTTTCTTTCTAAGAATAACAGAAAAGGAATTTTTATGACTTAATACGTGAGGTGAGAAAAGTCACAGATTTCTACCTAAATCCCTTTCTGGATTGCTATTCCTTCAAGAAAGGATGACTTTAAGTCAGTAATTTAATCTGCACCAGAATGTTAGATTGTCTGGGGCCTGTGCTGTGGTGCAGTAGGTTAATCCTCCACGTTCAGCGCCAGCATCCCACATGGGCACCGGTTCTAGTCCCAGCTGCTCCTCTTCTGATCCAGCTCTCTGCTGTGTCCTGGGAAAGTGGTAGAAGATGGCACAAGGGCTAGGGCCCTTGCATTCAGGTGGGAAACCCAGAAGAAGCTTCTGGCTCCTGGCTTCAGATAGGCGCCAGCTCCAGCTGCTGCAGCCATTTGGGGAGTGAGCCAGCGGAAGGAAGACCTTTCTCTCTGTTTCTCCCTCTCACTGTCTATAACTCTACCTGTCAAATAAATAAATAAAATCTTAAAAAAACAAATAATGTTAGTGTGTCCCCTACATTTGCATAAATACATCCAAACCCACCTTCCAAGATCATCCTCTTTGGCTTGCTTTCTAAATAAAGTTTCCTACTTGTTTGAAAAGTTACATAACTATCTCTTATTTTTCAGTCTTCTTAAATTTAATTTTACCTAACCTAGCCATATTGTACAGTTATTAGTTGTTCCCAATTTTTTTCTCATTGAATGTTTCTCTTGACTAAACAATAGTGGTAATAGTAAGTATGAGTACAATGTTACTTTTTATGAAATACTCTTTGGTCTGGACATAGTCTAAGGGCCGATTTTAACTGGTCCTCACAACAGTATGTGAGTTCTTCTGAGTATGATTGTCTTCTCAATTAACATATGAGAAAATAGTTTTGAAGTTAAGTGGTGGCTCAAAATCACATACATAGGCTTGTTAGGTCATCCTCTTGGACACTACACCGATCTGCCATTGCTTTTAGAGACTCAAAGCTACCCTTGGCCTACATGCACTCTTTTTTTTTTAAGATTTATTTATGCCAGCGCCGAGGCTCACTAGGCTAATCCTCTACCTTGCGGTGCCGGCACACTGGGTTCTAGTCCCGATCGGGGTGCCGGATTCTGTCCCGGTTGCTCTTCTTCTAGGCCAGCTCTCTGCTGTGGCCAGGGAGTGCAGTGGAGGATGGCCCAAGTGCTTGGGCCCTGCACCCCATGGGAGACCAGGATAAGTACCTGGCTCCTGCCATCGGATCAGCGTGGTGTGCCGGCCGCAGCGGCCATTGGAGGTTGAACCAACGGCAAAGGAAGACCTTTCTCTTTGTCTCTCTCTCTCAATGTCCACTCTGCCTGTCAAAAAATAAAAAATAAAAAAAAGTTACAGAGAGGCAGAGGCAGAGAGAAAGAGAGAGAGGTCTTTCATCCGCTGGTTCACTCCCCAAATGATTGCAATGGCCAGAGCAGCACCTATCCAAAGCCAGGAGCCAGGAGCTCCTTCTGGGTCTCCCATGCAGGTACAGGGTCTCAAGGACTTGAACCATCTTCTGCTGCTTTCCCAGGCCATAGCAGAGAGCAGGGTTAGAGAGCAGCCGAGACTCAAACTGGAGCCCATATTGGATGCCGGCACTGCAGGCCATGGCTTTACCTTCTACACCACAACGCTGCCCCTTGTATATACTTTTTTTTTATTTAGTAAATATTAATTTCCAAAGTACAGTTTATGGATTACAATGGTTTTCCCCCCCATAACTTCCCTCCCACTCGCACCCCTCCCATCTCCCACTCCCTCTCCCATTCCATTCATATCCAGATTCATTTTCAATTATCTTTATATACAGAAGAATGATTTAGTATATATTAAGTAAAGATTTCATCAGTTTGCACCCACACAGAAACACAAAGTGTAAAAATACTGTTTCAGTACTAGTATAGCATTACTTCACATTGGACAACACATTAAGGACAGATCCCACATGAGAAGTAAGTACACAGTGACTCCTGTTGTTGACTTAACAATTTGACACTCTTGTTTATGGCGTCAGTAATCTCCCTAGGCTCTAGTCATGAGTTGCCAAGGCTATGGAAGCCTTTTGGGTTCGCCAACTTCGATCTTATTCCTACAGGGTCATAGTCAAAGTGGAAGTTCTCTCCTCCCTTCAGAGAAAGGTACCTCCTTCTTTGATGAGCCCGTTCTTTCTACTGGGATCTCACTCACAGAGATCTTTCATTTAGGTCTTCTTTTTTTTTTTTTCCAGAGTGTCTTGGCTTTCCATGCCTAAAATACTCTCATGGGTTCTTCAGCCATATCCGAATGCCTTAAGGGCTGATTCTGAGGCCAGAGTACTGTTTAGGACATCTGCCATTCTATGAGTCTGCTGTGTATCCCACTTCCCATGTTGGATCGTTCGCTCCCTTTTTGATTCTATCAGTTAGTATTAGCAGACACTAGTATTGTTTGTGTATCCCTTTGACTCTTAGACCTATCAGTGTGATCAATTGTGAACTGAAATTGATCACTTGGACTAGTGAGATGTCATTGGTACATGCCACCTTGATGGGATTGTATTGGAATCCCCTGGCACGTTTCTAACTCTACCATTTGGGGCAAGTCCGATTGAGCATGTCCCAAATTGTACATCTCCTCCCTCTCTTATTCCCACTCTTATATTTAACAGGGATCACTTTTCAATTAAAATTTAAACACCTAAGAATAATTGTGTGCTAATTACAGAGTTCAACCAATAGTACTAGAACAACAACAAAAAAAACAACCAAAATGGATAAAGTATTACATTGTACATCAACAGTCAGGACAAGGGCTGATCAAGTCACTGTTTCTCATAGTGTCCATTTCACTTCAACAGGTCTCCCCTTTGGTGCTCAGCTAGTTGTTGCCAATCAGGGAGAACATATGACATTTGTCCCTTTGGGACTGGCTTAGTTCACTCAGCAAGATGTTTTCCAGATTCCTCCATCTTGTTGCAAATTACTGGGTTTCATTGCTTTTGACTGCTGTATAGTATTCTATAGAGTACATGTCCCATAATTTCTTTATCCAGTCTACTGTTGATGGGCATGCCCAGTTTGCTTAGAGTTTGCATCATGAAAGGGTGTTGTATTTTATCAAATGCTTTCTCTGCGTCTATTGAGATAATCATATGGTTTTTCTTCTGCAGTCTGTTAATGTGGTGTATCACATTGATTGTTTTGCGAACATTGAACCATCCCTGCATACCAGGGATAAATCCCACTTGTTCTGGGTTTGTATATACTTTTGAGAATAACCAGGGGGCTGGCAGTGGAGGAAGGCCTAAGTGCTTGGGCCCTTGCACCAGCATGGAAGACCAGGAAGAAGCACCTGGCTTCTGGCTTCGGATTGGCCTAGTTCCGGCCGTAGTGGCCATTTGCGGGGTGAACCAACGGGAGGAAGACCTTTCTCTCTGTCTCTCTCTCTCTCACTGTCTAACTCTATCTGTCAAAAAAGAAAAAAAAAAAGAATAACCAGAACCTCTGTTTTTACAGGGAAACCTGGCTAAGCGGTTGAGTGTCAGTGATGTTTGCAACATAATGACCAACGAATCTCTGGGCTGGCCATATGAAAGATATGCAGCAGTTTCAAATATGGTTCTCAAAAGAGATGGCTCTCCCTGCCTTTCAACAAGTTATAAATCATATGTAAGATCGTTGTCTATGACCTCTTGGAGAAATATCCAATTGGGTTCAGGTAAAGTATCAGTTAATAAATATTCAAAATTTACTTTTGGGGTTGGGAAAAACGAATGCAGGAAACCAGAAAAGTGATTGAAACGTGTTGCCAATTGTGAGGCTGCATTAAGCACCATGAAGAGACATAAAAGGACCACTAGGTAAAGATTTCATACTTGGATGGGAAATAAAAGTGAATGAATTGAGGAGCCAGTCAGATATAAGCTCAGGGCTTCAAGAAGCAGAATAAAGGAAGTTATCTGTTTGGTACTTTTCAGCATCAATTAAGTGTTACTGATTTTGAGGAAAACCCTCTGCCACCTCGAGTTTTGTACAGAACAATTTTGAAAGCTGACTATACTCTAGAATGCCACAGACAGACCTGAGAAATTAGAACAAAACAAAAATGTCTCTGTCATTCTCAGATGGATAGAACTGGAATGTCTGGGGTTGAGATCTAGGAATCTGCAGTTTTTAACACATTCTGACACACAGAGGGAGTGAAGGTTTCTCCAGGAAAATTATAAGAATTTGGGTGCTTTTCGGGGTTGATGCTTGGGCTTCTACCTTGCAAACTACTGACATGTGCTGCCTGGATTCAGCCTTGAAGATTTAGCATTAGGCCCACTTCTCCTGGAAAAGTTCAAACAACTTTAAGGTGTGAAGGAGCCTCTATAACCAAAATTTTAGAAAATATCTCATGCCAACCAATAGGTTCTTGCAATATTTTGTTCAATGAGAGAGAGTGGAGCATGCCCCCAAAGGGGCTACATCTCCAATAAGGGAGTTTGGTGTTGACAGTGGTGTCAGTAGAAGGGACTAGGATCAATCTGATGTGTAGTTGATTTAAAAGACTTCTTGGAGAAGTCAGGTAATGCCCTGAGCTCCTATTCGTCTTTCTATTCTCTGAACTCATTGAAGGCAGAGATGTCACTGAATTTGCCTTACAGTCTACAGCACTAGGACAATGCCTTGTACAGAAGAAGAAATAGATAAATGTTTGGTAAAATGACTTAGATCCTGAGAGAAGATTGAGGCTAAATGCTGAATTACAGTCTTCCTTGACTTGACTAGTTCTACATAGCACAAGATCCTTCCATTGTTAAGGGAAATTTGAGGATTCCTAAGACAGGAGACATCTATTAATATGCAAGTGATGCTTCTTCCACAGTTGGGCAAGTAGTGCAGACAAGCATGTGAAGGAGAGGTCTTGTTCAGCAACAGTGACATAAAGTGGCTGGATTGTACATTCTCATTAGGGTAGCAAAAGATGGTAAGAGAAATAGGGAAGAAAAACAAATTTCTGTTTTCCTTAATGTATTTGGTTCTTATGAAATTTCCCAAATTATCAGCCTAGAGAGAGGTAGAAATTTTTGTTAGATAATTTCTCAATTCTGTGTTTTCTGAACACCATAAATCTATTCCCAAATCTGTGTTCAACTTTTGAGGCCATAACTTCTGCCTTTACAGTGTCAGAAGAGTAAGGTTATCATCGTTGCTTCTCTTAGTTCTAGATCCTACCTATGGATCTATAAATTGAATTTGTGTTTTCTCTACCAGAGAAATAATTTAGCTACTTGTAGCTTCAATATAAGCTGGTCTGGGCCAAAGAAAGACCCCTATCATTCCCATCCTAAATGTCCCTGTTTTCTTCCACTTAGCCTGCTTGATATATAGAATACTGGCAACTTGAAGCTATTTATGATAGGAATGGTTCTTTAAGTTGTTAACTAAATTTCATGATAATGTGTAATCTTTGAGACAGATGCTACCTTTCGATGAATCAAACTTCAAGATTGTTGTACATAATTTAAATCATTGATTTAGTCATCTAGCTAATGCTGTTGGTGACCTCTGTAGGAGAAGTTCAATCCCAGTGGGACTGAGTGTTTCCCAGTGGTGAGGAAGAGAGACACTAAGTGTATATCAGTCCTTCCTGAGACTTTGTAATTAAAGATCTGACAGATCTCCAGACATCAACTAGAGGGGAATTCATGGAGTGTGGTGTCTGTTCTAAAAGAGGCTAAGACAGAAGAAAGGAAGTATACAGATCCAAGGTCTGAGAGGAAGAAGAGGGGATTGCTTTAGAAGCATGAGGACCTCAACAGCCTTCTCACAGGACATAGATTCAGTGCTTGGTGTGGAACTATGTGGGCATGATGAAAAATACACTAGGATCAATTTTTTGGCACATTAATTAAAATGTTGCTAGAGATACCTGCATCCCATAGTGGAGTGCCTGGTATTCAATCTTGGTTCTGCTTTCAGTTCCATTTTTTTTATTGTGTCTCTTGGGAGACAGCAGGTGATGACTCAAGTAGTTGAGTCCCTGCCACCCACATGGAGCATCTAAATTGAGTTCTTAGCTCCTGGCTTGTTGAGGACATGTGGGAAGTAAATCAATGGATGGAAAACCTCTGTCTGCCTGTTTCTCTGGCTTTCAAATAAATAAGAGTAAATAAATAATTAAAAACATTGTTCTAGAGGGGTATGGGTAACACCTAAATTAGAGTACATTTTTTAAAGCATTTTATTTGCTCATTAACAAAAATATAATTTCTAGCCATTTTAGTCTGGATTTTCCAGGGTGTAGGAAAATTGAGAGAGAGAGGATAGAGAGAGATTTTTTTTTTCATAAGGGACTAACTTGCATGATTAGGGAGGCTGAGAAGATCTGCAGTTGGCAGTCTGGAGTCCCAGCAAGGGAGTTGAGGCTTAGTTCCAGTCAAAGTCAAAGACCTGAGAATCAGGAAAGCTGATGGGGCTCCCAACTGATTTCAAATCTGAGAGCAGGGAAGATCAAGTTCTGATGGAGAGAGTGAATTCTCTCATCATCTTTCCACAGATGGAGGGGCCCACTCACACTGGGGAGGGCCGTCTGTTTTCCTCAGACCACCTATTCAAATGTTAGTCTCATCCAGAACACCATCACAGACACACCCACATCAAGCTTCACCAAAGACCAGGGAACCTGGTGTCCACTACGTTGACATATTACACTGGCTAAGTTTATTGATATTTTGCTTTATAGCGAGGCAATGGACCTACCAGTCTTGCAATGAATTTGGATTATTTCAGACCACGACCTCAAACAATCAGCCATTCTCTGGAATCCCTCTGAGGTAAAAGATCTACCTTATGCTCTAGTTGCCCCTAGAGATTATGTTTAAAGGTTATTTTAATATATAAAGGTAAGAATAAATCAATCAAATTGGCCACCCCTACACTGATACAAAAATTTAAGGAAGACGTCTTCTGAATGGAAGATTAACAAGTCAAAATAATGTGGCCCATGTTGTGGAGCAACAGGTTAATCCACTCCTTGTGACACCGGCATCCCATATCAGAGCACTGGTTTGAGTCCTGGCTGCTATGCTTCTAATCCAGCTTTCTGTTGAGGCTCACAAGAAGGCAGCCGTTGAAGATGCAGGTGCTCAGGTCCCTGCCACCCAGGTAGGAGACCGGAATGCAGTTCCTGGCTCCTGGCTTCACCTGGCCCAGCCCTGGCTGTCGCGGCCGCTTGGGGTTTGAACTTATGGATGGAAGCTCTTTCTCTCTCTGTCACTCTACTGTTCAAATAAGTAAAAATTAAACCTTTTAAAAATGAAAATATTCTAATAATATACACAGGACAAGAAGATTTCTGGACTACCTCGTTTGGCAGCTGGCAGCAAATATTTATTATTCTAAAGATCCTTGTTTTTTATTTTAACCTATTGGTATTTCTGGGTAATTTTATTTAATATTCTCCAAAGAAGGTACCTCAAGTATTTTTTTTACTTCTCTTAAATAATAGAATGCTGTTCACATGGTTATATATTTTTTTTTGTTTTGTTTTGTTTTTGTTTTTGTTTTTTGACAGGCAGAGTAGACAGTGAGAGAGAGAGACAAAGAGAAAGGTCTTCCTTTTGCTATTGGTTCACCCTCCAATGGCTGCTGTGGCCAGCACACTGTGCTGATCCGATGGCAGGAGCCAGGTGCTTCTCCTGGTCTCCCATGGGGTGCAGGGCCCAAGCACTTGGGCCATCCTCCACTGCACTCCCTGGCCACAGCAGAGAGCTGGCCTGGAAGAGAGGCAACCGGGACAGAATCCGGCGTCCCGACCGGGACTAGAACCCGGTGTGCCGGCGCCACTAGGTGGAGGATTAGCCTATTGAGCCGTGGCGCCGGCCCACATAGTTATATTTTTGAAAGAAATATAAAATGAGCTAAAATTTCTAGTATTGAACAATATGCTAGGAAAGATCGTTAGACACATTTTTTATTTTAATTAGTTACTTCTCATTTTATTGTTTGAAAAACAGAGAGAGAGAGAGAGAGAGAGAGAGAGAGAGAGAGATCTTCCATGACTGGTTCCCTCCTAACTGCCTGCCACACTCAGGGCTGGGTCAGGCTGAAGCCAGGAGCCCAGAACTCAACCCAGGGCATCCATGTGGGTTGTAAAGACTCAAGTGTTTGAGTCTGCTGCCTCCCAGGGTATGTATTAGCAGACAGCTGGATCAGAAGCAGAGGAGCGGCTGGTGCTGTGGCATAGCAGGCAAAGCCACTGCCTACAGTGCCAGCATCTCATATGGGCACTAGTTCGAGTCCTGGATGCTTCATTTCCAATCCAGCTCTCTGCTATGGCCTGGGAAAGCAGAAGATGGCCCAAGTTCTCGGGCCCCTGCACTGTGTGGGAGACCCAGAAGAAGCTCCTGGCTACTGGTTTCAGATCTGTGCAGCTCCGGCTATTGCGGGCAATCGGGGAGTGAACCAGAAGATGGAAGATATCTCTGTCTCTCTATCTCTTTCTCTCTCTGCCTCTGCCTCTTTCTAATTCTGTCTTTCAAATAAATAAGTACATCTTTAAAAAAAAAGAAGCAGAAGAGATAGAATTTGAACCAAGCACTGTGGATGTGGGCATTCCAAGTAGCTAGTTTTATTTACTTTTTACTGGAACAGCTGAGATAGAAAAAGAATAAATGGTTTATGCAAAGAAGCCAGTTCACAAATACAACTGCAATAAGACTCTGTGCTTATTATTCAGTACTTATGAATCACAGCATTTAGAAACATATTTTTGATTCATATTCAGTATCTTGAGTACGGTCATTGGAGGCTGAGTCTATAGAGCATGCAAATAGCTGAATAAGGAGGCTTGTTGTGCACAGATCAAATAAAGAGGATGCTTTTTCTGTGTCAAAATATTGTTCTCTATCAGGAACTGATCCCTTCAGCAAATCAAATAATTTCCATGAGAATTGATTTCCTTGAAATAGCATACTTGAGGAATAAGTTTTCAATAATTCTCTTTTTAGAGTGAAGAAATTTTTTATCTATTTTACGTAATTCAGATTTTTAGCAAAAAAACTAAACAAATTATAAAACAACACCAGTAGCATACTACAGCTTTCTTTAAATATCTTTCCTTTATTCCTCAACCCAGTGCTGAATCTTGTTTTTTTTTTTCTTTGCAGTGGTCTTCTTGAACAATGTTCAGATATCTTTGGTCCTGAGTTCAATAGTGCTTCATTGGCTGCAGCTGTTGAGGCCACAAATGAGGCTTATGGTGGCTTGAATGTGACAGGAAGCAAAATCATCTTTACCAATGGTTCCCTTGACCCTTGGCACATTCTGGGAATCACAGAGACTATCAAAGAAGATTTGCCTGCTATTTTTATAGAAGGTAACATGGTTGTTAACTGGTAAAAAAAAAAAAGCCACAAAAAATTAAAAAGAAGTTTTAATATTGTTATGGACAGAAAGTACAAAGTACCTCGGAGCAGGTGATAGATAGGCAACATAATCTTCATGATAAGTACAGTAGCCTCATTTTAAAGGTGGAGATATGTTCTAAAATCCCCAATGGATGACTGAAACTATCGCTAGTGTGTCAGATACTGTGTGTATAGGTATGTGTGTGTATCCTATATCTACATATCTATGATAAAATTAGCTTTATAAATTAGGCACAGTGAAATTAGCATACCCACTAACAGTAAAATAAAACAATTATAGTGATATAGTGTACTAAAAGTTACATAATGTGGTCTCTCAAAATATTGTATTATGATCACTATTCTTGTGATGATGTGAGATGACACAGTATCTATATGAGATGAAGTGAGGTGAGTAATGCAGGCATTGTGACGTAGCATTAGGTTTCTATGTAAGGGTTACTTGACCAGAAGTTCTGTGATATCACAACAGTTGATCTGATAGCTGAGATGCTTATAAAGGAACTAATGGTCAAGTAGTGTATACAGTGTGGATATATTGGACAAAGGATGATTCTTGTCTTAGCTGGAACAGAGCAGGATAGCACAAGACTTAAAACTTATGAGTTTATTTCTGGAATTTTCCATTTAATATTTTTAGGTTGAAGTTGACTAATTACTGAGGGTAATTGAACTGGTGGAAAGAGAATCCACAGATAAAGGGAGGCTGTTGTATTCAGTCATTGTTGCTTACTCTAAACAGCACATCTTAAAAAGAAACGGCACAGAAATGAATGATGTGTATGAAATTACTATTTGTTTACTATTGTCTTTATCGGTTTTCTTCCAAGAAGTTTATGTATTTTCAGGTAGTCAAATGAGATGAGGTCATTTTCGTGTGTGACTCTTATGACTCATAAAGGAAAGTTATTTTGTCTAATGGATCTGAATGCTAGCTAAATGATGTGCCCAGTAGCACACCAGCTTATTTCTTAGCACAATGAAGTCCCTTAGAACATAAGATCTTTCTATACGACCCGTTTTGTGTTTGTGATTAGTGAAATTAGTTTCAAGATAACCTCAGTAATCTATTTTTAGTAAGGGATAAAATGTGTATTCCCACTGCAAAATCAAAATCTGCTGCTTATTATGCTAATGTGATATTTACAAGAGCTATCACCATGGTTTCCAGCTCAAATTCCCTCAAAGCCTTAAGACTTGGTCAATGAAAAGTCAAACTTATAAACATGCAACACTTAATTTTTACAAACTTTCTTAAATAATAAAAATGGCCTCAAGGAGAAACATTTTTGGCAGTGGAAATGTAGCAAATGTCGAGACAGATTTAAACAATTACTATGGTTGACATCTAGATGTTTAGTAATTTAATCATTAGTGAGGAATAGGGTCTTTTATGGGAAAAATACATGTTTAAAATAATCTTGCTTTATATGTCCACTATGGTTCTCTATTTTATAATAATCAACATTATACTGAGCAAAAGCTTTCTATTTTCTACCCAGAAATTCTTTCCTTTGTGACAATTATAATATTCTCAAGCTTAATATTCTTCAACAAAATTTCAGGCAGTCAGTTAATGGTAATTTGAAGATCCTATACAGAACCACTGGTTCTGTGCAAAATACTGCCCTGTTTCTGATGGTAAAAGTGGTTGAGTCACAGTGCCTACATTGAGTGCAGTACTTCTATAATCAGAAATAATTTGTTCCTTCTAGTGGGACAGTAAACTAGAGCCAAAATCTAGTGATAAGAAGATAGCAAAGACTTGGGTCTCATCTTTCAATCCTCTGACACTCATTTTTAAAGGGTGATAATTGGGTTTTGATTATGCATTTCTATCCTAGAAGAATCACTGTAGTCCATACATTGCCAATTGGGGCAATATTGTCCCCAAAGTTGATATTGAGATCTAGGGGTAAGCAAAACTGGTGGAAAGCAAGTCAGTTTGGGGACTTAAAAAAAGGATTTGGAGAAATATCCAAACAGAAATGGAATATGATTTGGGGTTTCAGGTAAGGGAATGAATCAATGGGATGTATGTGTTGAGATCCATTCAGACCACATTGTGGAATTTTAATAGAGCAAAGTGAATATGTGTGTGAAGCAAAAAGACTTTCGCACGAATCCAGTAGAGTGGTTGCAGTAGAGGGGGAATGACAGAAATTAGTGATTGACTCAATATAAGGGATGAGGAAGAAAGAGGTACAAAATGAGAGGCTTGGATTTCTACTGATATAGTTAGGTGGTTGGTGGAGCTATTCCACCTTTTAAGAAGGCCAAGATTGGGGGTGAGGTGGGGAGAAGGACATGAAGAGACATTAGGAACCCCTTTCTGCATCCATTGCGTTTGAGGTACCTGTGAAGTATTTAAGTGAAAAGCTGGGTAGGCAGTTTGCTTGGACTTAGAAGAGACATTTGCGACATTGAAAAAGTTTAGGGTGTACTGGGGACAAACGAACCCTAGGCATGGATGAGTATGGCTTTGGAAAAGAATATCAAGGGAGACAGTTGGGCTTAGTAGTGAACCTTGTGTGAATAAAACACTAAAAGTCTAGAAAAAGAGATTGACAATGGGCAGTAGGCTTCTGGAAAGCCAAAAGCTGTCACCAAGGAAGGGAGTATTTTAAGATAGCAAGAGAGGGTCCGCTGTAATGTTATTGGGATTTCAGACAATATGAGAATGCAAAAGAGCCGTTGGACTTACTGATCTGTTCTTTCTTCCTGAGAGCTATTCAGGTAGAGTCATTGTAAGTGGGATTTAAAGCACTTTGAGATATAAGAGGTAAGAAAGTAGAAGCAGCCAGTATAGACAGCTCAGTCATGCATGGTAGAAGATACTAAAAACAATTACTGGAGAAGGAAGTAGGGTTAAAGAGGAAGACCTCACTGTAGAGGGAAGGCAGATGGAGAACAGGGCCATCCTGGACTTAGGGTACTGGCCTTCGATGTTGGATATACACATTTCTATCACGTAGAAGGGCAAAAGTTAAGGAGGAGGGAAAAATTAAGTAGATCTATAGTTTGGTCACAGGAGTTTGAGGAATTTCCCAAGTTGTGAATATTTTTATACATAGCCCATCATATCCTGACCCTTCTCATATTCCTGTTATATAGTCTTAAGTTTATCTGTAACTTCTTCTGAGACAGTGAATAGACATTTGACAAGTATCTTTCTCTCTATACAACTACATTCTCTCTATACAACTCTACAAGTCCTCATCCTTTCACTCTGTCTTATGAAAAGGAAGGAAAGATCATTTTTGGTGTTGAATGAAAGCAGAAAGTAGCAGTGTCACTCTTGTATCTTCCAAGGGTGAAAACCTAACATAAATTCTTGATGGGGCAAGTTAATACCTCCAAAGCTCATGATGGTTTTTCTCCTTTTTGGCTCACATACTAAGCTTTCAATGCCAAGAAAAACTCATGCTCCTTCTTGTTTTGACAGAGTTCACAGCATAAACATGACCTCAATAGTTATAAGACTGACACTTTATTGTCCCCTTTTCTGGCCCCTTCTTAGATGCCAAGGATTAGATCACCTTTTAATGGGAAATTACAATTCCCTTAGGGATTAATTCAATTGAAATCTCAAAAAGCTGGATGGGGAGGGTTTTGTCAACACCTAACCTCAGAAGAGAAGAAATGTTATATAAGTGAGTTCATGTTTCCTATCTGGAGGGTGAGGAGCTTTTATGTTGAACAGAATTGGTAATACTTCCTGGAAACTCCAGGCTTTGGAGGGTTTTATAGTTGTCTGGTCTCTTTCCAAATGGAATCCTTAAAGCTTTTCTAGCCAAGGTGAATCAGAGACATTCAGATTTCTGTCACACAGTCATGGACAGCTCAGGTCAGGGGTGCTTCCCATGGACACATGCAAGTCCCTGCACCTTTGCAGTATGACTTCCATTTCTCTCTCATGCCAGATACCTGATCGTAGTTACAGCAAGTGACTATATGAATATAGAAGTCAGTGAATGCCAACTGTAAATCACATATATTATATTTCACAATGTTTATCTTGTTCACATGTTTATCTTGTTCACAATTATATTGTTTGATATGTTATTCACACTTATATTGTTTGATTATGTTATTGTGAAAGACAATGAAAACAAAATACTTAGTATAGAACCTAATGCATAGCAATGCTCACCAAATGACAGCTCTAAGGAAGGAAAGTCAGATGACTTGGTGAAAAAGCCACAGTGAACAGAAAATACCACAGAACTTTTCTTATTTTATGGTGCCCACTCTTTTACAGGTTAAATATCCCTTATCTAAAATGCTTGGAGCAAGACTTTCAGATTTCTGATTTTTTAAAATTTTAGAGTATTTACATAGACCTTACCAGTTCGGTCTCTGTAATATAAAAATCTTGAATGCTCCCAAATCCAAAACTTCTTGAGTGTCATGTTGGCTCTCAAAAATTTCAGATTTCAGAGCATTTTGTATCTTGTTTTTTCAGATTACAAATGTTTAAGCTGCATGTGCTGCTTTTGAATCAGTACCTAACACTAAATATAATGATTCTACTTATTATGTTTTGTTATTCTTGCTAAAGTATTTGACATGCAAAGAGACAGAAACAGAGTGCTCCCACCCACTGATTCACTCCCAAATGCCCACAATAGCTGGGGTTGGGCTAGGCTAAAGCTAAGAACACAGGAACAAAATCCAGGTCTCCCATGTGAGTGGCAGCAACTCAGTACTTGAGCCATCTCCACTGCCCCCTAAAGTCTGTATTAGCAGTAAGCTGGAGCCAGGAGCCAGAGCTTGATATTGAACTCAAGTACTCCTTTAGGAAATTTGAATGTCTTATCCATCAAGTTAAATGCTGGCCTCCTACATGTTTTTAATAGAGGTATTTTATTTGTAGCTGGGCACCATTTATTGCAATGTAGTGTTCAATAGAAGAATAATTTAAGTGCTTATAAACCTGAAGCATATATATTAGAGTTTTAGGTCTAATACTCAGGCAAAATAGGTGATATACGTGAAACAGGTGAGGTTAACTTTACTAATATGTTTTAATTTGACCCAATATATTAACGGTTTTCTCATTTAGCATGTAATTATTAGGAAGATGATCACATCTTTTTTCATACTAAGTATTCAAATCTCTTAAATACTTTATTTATACAACCCTTATCAATTTGGAAAAGCCATATGTCAAGTGCTCAATAGCCACATGTGACTCGTGGCTCCATTAATCAATAGTGCTGGTTCTTACTCTACATGAATAATCTCATTAAGTTCTCTTCTCCATCAAGTATAGCCCCTATTACTGTTCTCATTTCTACAGATGCATAAAGTAATAATAAGAAGTTAAGCTTATGGGCTTAAGACTTTTTGTTTGCTTCTTCCTTGTGGCTGGTGGTTGCTGGAAATGCTTGACCTTACTTTGCTTACAGCTATATGACTCCAATCTCAGCTTCTGCCATCACATGGCTGTCTTCCTACTGTGTGTGGCTCTGTGTGTGTTTTCTTATAAGAACACCAGTCGTACTGAATTTAAGGCTACTTCTAATCCAGTATATCCCCATCATAACTCATTGTATTTCCAGTGATCTTATTTCCAAATAACAGCATATTCTTTTTTTTAAAAAAAACACCTTTTTATTTCAGAAGTATTTTAAATATATAAAATAAAAATTGGTAAATAGCACAAAACAAATAGTGTCACATTCTCAGGTTCTGGATGGACATGAATTTTGGGGTGGCACTGTCGAATCAGTACAAATGTCTACCTGTGTCCAAAGCTCTGCTGGGCACTAGGACTGCGCTGGTGAGTGAGATGCTCATAGTTTTTGCCCCCCAAGAACAGTCAGTCAGGCACAGAGCCAGAAGACAAGCACTGATCAAATAACTGCTCCGAAGCTTTCCTGCGGAATAGATGTCCAAACAGAATTGAGGAGGGGGAGCAGCTTAGGCTCCCATTTAAGAAGCAAACTCCTTGATTGCTGGGACGAGGTCTTGTTTATCTTTGAATTCATGGTGCCTGGTGCATGGCTGATGCTCAGAGACTGGGTGTGAATGAAACTGCTAACCACCTCAATACTGAAATGAAGTTAAAAGAACTTGACAAGAAGGTCGAAGTCTTATTTTGAGATTATATCAGTTGAAGAGGGGATCACGTAATTCTAACCAGGGAAAATTTCAAACCCTGAGCTTTATCTGCTTCACGTTCATTTCAGCACCTCTGGCTTGTCTAAATTCAGATTGGTATTGTATTCAAATAGTTTATTCTTACCCACTGAAAATTGTTATTTGGCTCATTATCTTGGATAATTATAAAATCAAGTTGATTTAATAATCTTTTCTTTTATGAATTCATTATGTATTCTTGAGTATTCATACGTTTAGTATATTATTTTGAATGTTCAGACTTGAACTTTGGACAAATTATGTACTGTAAGGCAGTGAAAGCAATCTGATCGAGAAACTTTACTTTTGTCCAGGAAGTAAAAAGAAACAGAGTGAATCCTGAGTTGTCACAGTACAGAAGCACTTACTCACCAGCTGGGAGAGAAGAGTATTTTGATACTTTGTGGTTCCGTGATGCCCTTGTCTTTGTCTATGTTCAGACATGATTACAGAGTGGTTTTATTTGGATCTAGTTCCATCGTAGTCATTGTGTGACCTCATCGGATGTTGAAATTCTGTGAGATAGTTTATGTTTATAGGGAGCACCATGGGCTTTTATCACAGTCAGTTGTAATAGCCTTGTTTCGTTTTCAATACAGAGGAAATGTGTTATTCCTGCCACGCTCTTTCTTTCCATCCTTGTCAGGAAACCATTCTTAGTAAGTTCTTGTTTATGCTTCCAGGAGTTTTTTGCAAGTATAAGCATATATAGTCTTATCTCCCCTTTCAGAAACAGAAGGCAGTTTTTAACTATGCTGTTCTATACCTTGCTTGTTTTTCTTAATACGCAGTGCAGATCTTTCCATATCAGTACACGGAAGTCTTTCTTATTCCCTTTTAGTGGCTGTATAGTACTCTATCACCTGTATGTATGTCAGTTATTAGGAAGTTTGAGCCTTTTAACCCAAATACTTTGTTCCCATAAAAGAACACAGAACAGACAGATGCTTATTTATAAAAGATGAGAGATTCGTAGACCAGAGTAAGGACAGATGTGACAGATGCTGAAGTGAACAAGCTTCTATTCTTGGTTCCACAAGCAATTTACTTTTTCCCCCTTCTTTCCTTCTTTTTCTTTTTTGCTCTCTTTTTAAAAAATTTATTTACTTGAAGTTCGGATTTACAGAGGGAGAGGGGGAGACAGAGGGAGACAGAGGGAAGGAAGGAAGGAGGGGGAGAGAGGGAGAGAGAGAGAGAGAGAGAGAGAGAGCGAGCTTCCAACTACTGGTTCACTTCCCAGATGGCTGCAATTGCCAGGGCTGGGCCATGCCAAAGGCAGGAGCCATGTGGGTAACAAGGACCCAAACACTTGTGCCACTTTCTGCTACTTTTCTCAGGCCATTAGCAGGGAGGTGGATTAGAAGAGGAGCAGCTGGGACATGAACCAGTGCCCATATGGGATGCTGGCATAGGTGTTACTTGCTCCACCACAATGTTGGCCACAACGTTTTTCTTAACCATTCACATAAACATGCTGAACTTCAGTCTCTACGCCAGTAAAGTTAAGGGGCTGATAAAAACTTGAGGTCCAGTCAAGTGTCATCCTTTTTTTCTTTGCCCGGGGCTTTGCAGGTAGGTGTTTAACAGTCACATTGCAGGAGAAGCAAATATCTGACCAGCAGCATTTGCTGATTTGGTGGTGTCAATTCTTCCATCATAGCCATGTACTAATGGTTTAACAGTCAGTTTGCTAAGTTTCCTAAATTTTACAATTTTCTCTTAGAGTTGGGAAAACTTTTGAAATGAAGCTCTCCGAAATTATGAACTCCTCAGGTGCAAAATGTAACCTGAAAGCTTAAATTATATCATACATAGATAAAAAAGAGAAAAACAGACTATCATCCTCTAGATCTACTGCCTTAGGCATTTCCTGAAGTTTTTATTAATCTGTAGCACAGAAGGAATACTTGAGGACACAGTAATTCACTCTCATACATACTATATAGTTATCTAATCTTTTCTGTAAGAAGTTTGCTTCATCAAGTCAGTTTGCCATGTTAATATACTATTTAATCCTGAATTTTAACTATACCTGAATATTTTAATTGGCTTTTGAAAATCACTGCCATCCGGATCCTAACCCAGGCTAATTAAGTCAGAATTTCAAAAGGATAGGACTCAGACTGATTTGTTTTAAGGAGTCAGAGGTGATTTTCATATGCACCCAGGGCTCAGGACAATTGGTCTTTCCTACTTGACCTGTGGGTCTCTAACATTTGCCTTTTTTTCTCTTTTGAGGTGAATCACACTGTGCAGATATATACTTGGAAACACCCCAGGATTCATTGCAAGTAATTCAAGCACGAGAAAAAATGTTCAAGATCCTTGAAACATGGCTAATTGAAGCGACTGCTCAGAGAAACTAAGGTTAACAGAACTCAAAATTTGACCTTCCATTATATTGTTCAAAGGTAAAATCCACTGCAAGTGTGAAATTAGGAGATACCCCAAAGTCCAATTCCTCTATGTGGGTTTAAGTTTGTTTTGTTTTAAAGAAGGTCACTGTATTCCTCCTTGTTTTCTGCTGGCCTTAAGAAGCAGCTGACCATCAGAGCACACAAGAAATTAATTACCCTGGAGGGCCAGGTGCAATCAGTTAGCTGGTTGCCATGGGAACAGAGGCTCTACGTTTTAGGTTTTCCAGACCAGTCTCTTAGTTGATGAAATCTTATTCTTTTCATTAGGGCCATTCATAAAAACATAAATGTCACTGGATTATGTATGCATGGATATACAAATAGGAAAAAAAATACTCTGCCAAATCCTGAGCACTCTTAAGAAATTTAAGGATAGATAATGACTAGCTAAAAGAAAATCTGCAGATTTAAAAAATCCTGTTGGAAAAACTCAAGCATCAACTTCTCTGGAGCTTTTGGTCACTTGAAGAACAGTGCTGCTCGATATTGATATGGTGTAACTATGTAGTAAATTCAGGTTTAGCTGACAAGGAATTCTTGTACCCCTGTAATGTAACCCATCTCTTTAACTGTTGGCTTGATACACCCACTTTCCCAGGATACACTTGTCACATCCAGGACCAAGGTGCATGCTCCCACCCCACCTGTTTGTATACCCAGATTGGGTAGCTATCTTTCCGCTGCGAATGCTGTGGTCAGAGGGCTCAGCTCCTGTTTTTTGCTCAGAAGTACCATTCTCTCTCTCATTCATGTGCAACTCTGGCATACTCATGCTGAGTATTTCTTTGTGTGGGGTGGTCCACACTTGCGTGTGAACGTATGCTTATTCTCCCAATGTTAAATAAACTCTGTTCTTATTTGCACAAGTTACTAGTCTCTGCCTTGTATTTTTATGTGTTCATGGACAAGAACATGGATCAAAAATTAATATACTCATTGCTCACATCAATATGGGTTAAAGTTAGACCCCATATGAGAGGTACAATGGCTCTCATCCAAGAAGATTTCATTAGAAATTATATTCAAGTTAGTTTCTATTCATCTACAAAGAATCTACTGTGCAGCTCATGTCTAAAACTTACCCTAAAGGTATTATTGATTGTTCAAAATGATAGTATTTTGCCTTAAAAAAGATGTATGTTTAAACTCATTATTCAAAAAAACTTTGAGTTACTCTGTGCAATTGATGTTTAGTAAGCAATGGTATACACTGGTTTCTTGGTTGTGCTACAAGTGTCTCAAGGAATGTAAGATTTTAACTCTAGGTGAAAGTATGTGAGAATTTTCTGGGAGCCTTTGCAATTTTTCTGTAAACCTAAAATTATTCTGAAATAGTTTATTAATGAGTAATTTGTAGTCATTAATTGCAGTGGGTTAAGTAATTATAGGGGATACTGATAATTATTATATTGATTTCATTAGGTTGCTGATAGAAACTATTTGGTGACATTTTGGGAATCTGTCCTTACTTTAGGATTTCATACTGAATTTTAGCTTTTTTCTAAGGAATAATTGAAACATATGGTTTTTGGACTGTTTTTACCTTTTTAGGATATAAGCTACTATTTCAGAAATGTCACTTTGAACAAACCACTATGGAGATTTAAGTGATTAGTATTAGCTATTTTTGAAACACCACATTTCTTAGTTTCAAATGTTTGATACCCTGATATCATCTGCAATTTATTAGGGATCCGGTTTTTCCCTATTGTTCTTTTATGGAACCTATCCCATCTGATATTTGATTGATATGTAATAAACTTGCACTTGTAATCATTTGAAAAAAAATTGTGTTAGTTTTTATTTAACTTCTCAGGGCAAATAGGCCTTAAAAATACATCTGTGTTTCAAAGGGTTTGAGCATCTCTTGGTACTTACTTCCTTCTAAAGTTTTGTCAAACCCAGGAAATACCAGTGCTTTACTTTACTTTGGATATGTATTAATTAAGGTTTATTTTCTAATCCATATTCATAAATGTTTAATATGTAAAGAAATGAAGTAGATAAATTTAAAGTTTTCACATTTAACTAATATTTTAAAGACTACTTGAAAATATGGATATAGTTTATTTATGGGAGGTTTTTCCTGGGTGGCTATTTATCAAAATGCCATTACCATGCAATCCAAATGAGGACATGACGTATCACTATTACATAACTTCCAAATCACAGCACACATCTGGCTATACCTAGCTCAGAGTGTAGAACTCTATGATTTTCATACTTTTTCGGTTTTCTTCCTTTTGACCTGGGCTTCAGGTCAAAAATCCTACCAAGATTAAGTTAAATATATCTTCAGGCTGCAATGTATACAAAAGTTGAAATATTGAGAGTCTTAATATATAACATAATTTAAAAATCAATAGAAAGAGAAATCTGGTCAATATGGAGTGGGAGAGACTGGATTTTCTGGATATATGCTCCAGTCTTAACCAAAACACCTGCAAAAAAAAAAAATCAGTAAAATGAAACAAAGCTTTTGAAGACTTTGCACAAAAGGCAGTAAGGACAGTGATGCCCGACAAGCAAAGAACAAGTGAGGTGAGGCTCATGATATCCCCCAGTTATTGCCTAGAAGAAGATTTTCAGAATTGGCATAAAAACTGGAAAGAGAAGCAGAGCACCGAGGTCTACCTGAGTTAAGGACTTAGAAACAGGACCCTGGGAAAGTCAGGGTGGCTAGAATTTTACAAGGCCGGGTTACAGAAAAGAAACAGCAGTGCAATGAAGACTGGAGATCACCAGAGGGTCTCCCTTGTAGCCTTGGCTGGCTGCTGAACAAGGCGTGCATGTGAGAACATTACCTGTGTCCACGAAAGGGGCCACGTGGCAGGATACAGGGAAAGCACTAGCTATTTTCATACCGCTGGGAATATTTCATTTTCCAACAGCCAATGTGGAAATCTTCAGAATTTATGGAGTCTTGGGTAGAGTTGTTAGAAGGCTTTCACCCCCCTAAAGTGACTGGGGTAAAAATAGCTTTCAGTGGCCCAGGAAGAATTAAGCTTAGACTAAACAGTGGTTGGAACTTCCTGACCAAGATTTAAAGCAAGATTTGAAAGGATTACAAACTGTTTTCTAGTAACTTAATGGTGTTTCAGGCCAGAGCTCAAGAATACTTACAGAAATACAAAAACACCCAGCTCACAACAAGTCAAAAACCACGATGTCTGGCATTCAATTAAAGCAGGTTAAACAGCAAGAAAATATGATATCTGATGAAAAAAAAAAAAAAAACCATTGACACCAATCCAGCAGGAACATAGATGAGAAAATAGAGTAGCAAGAATGTGAAAAGCCATGGCTATATTCCACAGTTCAAGAAGGTAGAGAAAAGACTGAATTTGGAAGATGCAAAGATACAAAGATACAAGATATAAAAGAGACAAAAATCAAACTTCTGCAAATGAAAATTACAATACCTGAGATAAAAAGCATAGTAGATGGGATTAATAGATTAGATATTGCTCAAGATAAGATTAGTGCTGTGGATGGAATTGTGTCCTGTTCCAAATTCATGTGATGATCTCCTAAGCCCCAATGAGAAACTATTTGGAGATGGGGCCTTTGGGAGGTAATGAGGGTAGCTGAAGTCATGAAGACCTGGCCCACATGATGAGATTAGTTTTCTTGTAAGAAGAGAGAGATTCCTCATTCTTCACCATGTGGAGTGTTAATGAGAAGGCAGCAATTTCCAAGCCCGGGAAAGGATCCTCAGTGGCAATTAAATTGGCATTGCTGTGTTTAGAATGTTGAGACAGAAATGTCTGTTGTTTAATCTACCCAGTCTATGATATTTTGGTGTAGCAAATGGAGCTAGCACAATTAGTGAACTTGAGCAAATAAAAAGACATATCCAAAATGAAACAGAGAAAAAAATTAGTGCATTATGAAGGAGAGCATTACTCAACTGTGGGTCATGTTTAAGTGGACATAGTTACTTGGTTAATCTTCCTTAAATGTATGCCATAGAGAAGCCATGTTGTTTTTTTGAGCTTAAATTTTATTTCCTTTTGCAAGTGATTTTTGTTTTGAATCAGTAAAATATATTCATTCCATTTTAAGAAGATAGTCAGTGGGAAAAAGTTTGCTAAATAAAACCTTGCTTCACAGTTAACTTCCATATCTGTTCCATATATTCAGGTATTTTTGGTATTCTCTTTGAGCTCTCTCTCTGTAGGTTTGCAAAAGGTTAAGGCTAGAAAGAAAGAATGTACATTCTCTTTAGTGAAGGAACTTAATGTTTCTATTTTCAATTGTTTTCATAAGATTTCCATAAAATAGTTGAGTAAGAATTATTTCAACCCTGGTGTCCAACCTTACTAAGTAATATCAACATAGTTGGACTAAATCTTATTTTTCCAGGATACGCGACTAATTCTCACTGCTGTTTCTATTGGCAGATGTTTCCTTTCTTAATATGCCTCTACATTTTATCTTCAAAGAGAAAACCATTTTTCTGTCTACTAAGAACATTATGAGTAAGAAAAGTGTTTTTAAAAATTTCCTTTCTTTAAAGTCTACGCTAGAACCCCTCAGACTGCCAAAATAGTTTGACTCTTTCCCAATCAGTTATTATACACTGATGTGTATACACTGATGTCTTCTGTCTTCTGGTTTTTCTAAAAATTTGGATATTTTATGTGGAATTCACAAATCTGTCAAATCTTAATATGGGAATATTCATGAATAGCAAAAGGGGTATTAGTCTTATAGTTGAAAGTGAGGCCAAAGGAAAGATGAAGCTGATAAATGAGAAACAAGATATTTCTGAATTTTTGGAACAACATCTTAATATCCCCTAATTTAAACCAGGAAAAAGACATTTACAAAATCAAAGTCTGGAGGTAATATTTCAATTGCTGACATTCAGTCTGACAATGTTAGTGTGCTTTGCTCTAGTGGACTGTTGCAAAGATTCAAGTTGCCTACTTAAGACCAAGGATGGGAATGTGTCTCTTCCATATCCTGGCAATGATTTAGGCACTCAGGCCTTTTGCAGTAAACTATACATTTTCCTTTCATTATCAAATTTATATAAATTCTGTTTTAAAATATTTTCCTCCTCTTTTCATTTTCTGCTTGTCAGTCCAGCCAGTCTTGTCTGAAACATCATCCCATGTGTTCTCTCTACATGCCTTCTGTTTATTGATGGTTTTCTTCAGCAAGATTCTTTCCAAAGGCTAATCACGGAGTTGCTGATGAAAGACATTCTTATAAATAATTTACAGTGGTGTTTGACAATGGTTTGGATATGTAATAAAATAACATGATTTGGGACTTTCATTAATATTGCCTTTCTTGTATGTGCACTCAAGAGTATATCCTGATGTTTGAAAACTGGACATTTACTAAGGGTAGGGAACAGGAGAAGGGAGAAGAATAAAAGGTATGAGAGCCTCTCTTCTTGGCTGTGTCCAGTCAATGGTGGGATGAAGACAAAGCTATCATATTTCCCAGCCCTATCTGCTTTCAGATAAGTTTAGTTTCTGAGGCCAAAAGATAAAGTAGTTAATTAGCTCCCTAATTTTACACCAAGAGACCCTGCTTAATTGTATTTCTCATTTGAGTTTTTGGAATAGCCTGCAAACTGGTCTGCTTGCCTATGATCTTGTGATACATCCATCTCCTATTGGCTACCAGAAAGATGTAGCAGATTTAGACTTTAGAGGAAAGACCTACCTTCCATTGTTCTCACGATAAAAAAGCAATGCATTTTACATGTTGTAGTAGCAAAAATTGAAGACATATAGAAACTATAGTTACTTCTAAAAAATTCACAATTCCTTCTGATTATATGCCATTGGCTATAACTCAACCAAATGGCCATATTTATTTGCAAAGGAGATTGGGAAATGTAGTCTAT